CCCCCCCCCCGGGCTTTGCAGACAGTCCTGTTCGAACTAGGGTTCAATTTCTACGAATGAACAATATGATTGAGTCGTGCAGGTATAATATTGCATTCCATTCATTCCATATCTCAAGGAATACCCGCTGAGTGTAAAATTGCGCCGTAACCTTTGACAATGAGCTGATCGCTAGCGGCTTAGCTCTGTTTTTCTACACCAAGCACGAGTTCTTTGTGCGTTGTTCACAGCTAGCGACTTAGCACATTCCCTCGGGTCATTTAAATTCAAGAAAGCGGTGCTACTGAGTGCATCCAAGCGTTTATCGACAGGAACAGTTGTCTTAACGCAGCTTGTCAATAACTCTCCTCGACCCTCCGTTGATCGCTGCCGTTAAGTTTTGTTCTGATTAATCCAGTCCACTTTGCACTGCACGTTTGACAAGGATTTCAACAATCGGGGTATGTACCGACTGCTCGCTTTCAAATTGTTATTTCGTGAAGTTGATATTGGTTTGTTGCCGTTCAGCGTTTCTTGCGCAGATTGGAGCGGTTTGTGCTGTAGCCATTGCAACAGTTTCTCGCAGTATGACGTTATCTGGCACCACACTATGAAATAGCTTAGTCCGATTTTATGTAGGTGCAGCATCGAACAAATTTTATCTTCGGTCTTGTTGATATTACTGACAGATTTACGTTAAATTTGATGTTCAGTTGATCACGATACTTTCCCAGTTGTTTGGTATCCCTGAACCTGATTGTGGCAAGTTCAGCTCTGATTCTGTGAGCAGGCTAGACTTCGTACCGACATTAATTGTCAAACGCACGAGAACTGTTCCGTCTCCGAAAAGGATAGCTGCTTTACTTTACTTTATTGTGTGTATGTACAAATTTAGCTTTCAAGCGGTTTAAGTGTTCAAGAATTTATCACTGTGTTGTTTGGACTATTTGAACTCGAGTATTTTGTGTAGTCCCGTTGTACGATAATAACCTTGTTGAATTTTGCAGTTCTCGTCACATTTATACACTTTTCACTCAACGGTCAATATGTTTAGGTCATTGTTGTAGAGTGAATTTTGCATGATCGCGACCAATCTTTGATTTAATGAATCATTCAAACATCACGAGCAAACACTGAAAGTTAAGCAACTGAGTAGCCCAACCTCACTACCTCGGGAACCGTCTAACAGCTTCCGATATACACGTGAAAGCTGTCGACACCAGTCAGCTAAAAATGCGAGGTTATTATGTGCAAGTCAGTGTTTATTATGATTGCAAGAGTCGTTTCGAACCAGCCATGTTTGTCTTTGTTCTTCGAGCTAATTTGTTCACACTTTACACATTGCGCTATTATGGGCTATTAAGTTTTTAAAGTTTTATTTGGTCTTCTCTTTTAATACAGAGATGGATTAATTCACGGCTGATCACTGCGATTTTTTCGGTAACTTTCTTTCAATTCGCGTCGAGAAATGTTTCACTGGATGAAATAAGGCAACACGACAAATTCGGTTTCTCGCTGAGAGGTGACTTTCACTTGGTTTTCCTACGCCAGGAAGGTTCAATGCGAAAGGTATTTACGTGCATTAGATCTTGTTGGGTTAGATAGTCTGTGCTGATGAATGTACTGCTTATAACGCCTCGCTTCAATGTAGAAATTATATCACACTTTTTTATTTGTTTTGTAACACAATGCCGAACATATTGACCACGTCAATGCGAGCTTATTACACTGTTTATCCTGTCTCTTAAAAGTGAAATCGTAATTAAATTAAAACTTTTTGTTTTAGATTTCCTATTTTCTGATAGAGGTTTTTAAATTCTTGATATCTTCGACTTGAGAGAACAGAATCTTCGTTGGAGGAGATATTGTAAAAGGCTTTACTATTCCTACGGTTAGCTGTAGGGATCATATCTTTATTCCAGGCTTTATATATTAGAAAAGCCTCAAATTTAATACTGTCAAGTTTAAGTTCAAGTGTTTTCGCTTTAGGTGTTAACTTGTTATATTCCGTGATGAGTTCATATATTTTATATTTGCCACATTCATCTTTATTTCACAGTCGACTCCTTAATGCGTAACACCAACGACCGCCCACTGCATTTCACAAATACTTCGTTTTGATAAACACGATACATATTTTAGTTTAAATTACGGTAAACACTGTACTGTTGTTTAAACTGATATTATTTGCTAAATATCAGCAGCCATCAGTCCATGTTTTTGAAGGAAATCGCGGAAGTGACATGAAAATAGAAAGTGTACAAGAAAACTCGTTGACGTGTGAAGGAGTATCGGTATTGATAATGTAGAACGATAAACAGCACTGTAAAGTCACGATAAATTGTTTTTTTTTGTTTTGCACTTTTTCAGATTTTTTTTGCAATGTTATCATGCCTCAGTTATTATCAGAAAAATAATACTTTCTGTGGTCGGTGTTAAGATTGATTAATTATGCGTCAATGCGATTTATGTGGTCCTTTAGAAGCTGTGCGAAATAATTCTGCGATGCTAGTATTGTGAATCAGACAAAAAGTTATGCTCTATCGGGTCTTTACATGTGCACATGGCTGTGTGTTCGCCATGATTTGTATTTAAGTGAACATATGTATAAACATATATTTGATCATGAACTGCAGAGAAAGATTTAAAGACATGAATGATTATAGCAATTATACACACAGCTTAGCAGTTGTGAAATTAGAGCACTGCACTCGTTGGTTCATCCCTTGGTTTTACAGCTATCCCTGTAGTGACATTCCACGAGGTAGTAAAGGTTGGCGTACGCCAACCTTGTTGACCTATTCCGATTTCTTTCAGGGTGTGTTGCTGCGACCCTTAATTTTATTCCAGATTCCATGCAACAACCTTGGTCCCATTTATTGCCAGACAATTGTGTAGTTTTCTTGTATACCTACCTAACAAGCGTTGATTGTTACATTCGTCTTTGAAGGAAAAGTCTACTCGAAAACAAGTTTTGGTGCAACAGTTCGTTTTGTTAAAGGCAAGTAATCAAAAGAAGATCAAGAGAGCGCTGGCACATTTGATGAGGAATTGTCAAAGGTTGAGGGGAAGACACGAAATTCTGTGAGAAAGAAATCTTCAGCCTGGATATTTCAAGCCATGTTTTCCAAGTCACAACACAACTCCAAATCTGATAAAGGTATTTTAATCTACCCCTAAATTCAAGCTTTATAATCTGGGAAATATCATTTTGGGTGTAGTTAATTAACAGTTATTCATCAAGGAGGGCGTGAATTGGATTTACCACTCTAAATTGATGATATTTATCCTCCTTTAGAACGAAATTTCGAAAATCCTTTTCAAAGGTAAATGCGATCAAGAAAGGCACAGGAACAGTCGTTCAGTAGCCTAAGGCAATCGGCCAAAAACAATCGTGTTTTACCTGTTGAATCAGGAATGTGAGTAAAGCTACTTGCATTGCTGAACACGTGTGCAAAGAGGTCTAGCGTCCTAATTTAGAGACAAATTCTGCTTTTTACTCCTGAGAAAGTGGAGTGAACGCATAAAGTATATTCAGAGTTGAGCGCATGCAAAGCCGTATTCACTGGTTTGGTTATATTTGCATCTAATACATCGCGTGATCGGTTTAGACCAGTCATGGACCATTTGACTGGAATTTCCAAGAATAATTGATAATTGAAGGGAAATTCCAAAGCAGCCTGGATTTTGTATTCGTGCACCTTGTTAATTGTTTCAATAGTTATCGGTTAGCCTGAAGAACTTGACGGGATTCTCTTCCCTCAGCTGTTTCCATGTTTGTTGAACTTTCTCACGAGCTCCTCGTTTTCTTTTATCCCTGACCCTACCTGTGAAATCGAGGTTAATTCTACGTAACACGGTCTCCTTTTTTCCTCTCGAAGCTCCTTCAAAGCAGTCAGCGTTTCCCAGCAATGGTAACATCCTCAAGAAGAAAGCACGAACCACCATTTTGTCCGTATTGAATAAACGACAAACACAAGAGAAATTGTTCCTCGGGGAAAAGAATGATGGACGAGAACAACAAAACAGCGCTGTTAGTTCGTCGGGGCCTTCCGTTCAGCATCCAAAACAGTATTCAGAAGGTATGATAGAGGACTTGTCGTCCACAAAGTCCAAGTCGCAAAGGCCAAGTTCTGTTGTAGTTAAAAGTCCGAGTTATCATTTTGACACGCCGAATCAGAATTGCTCCCCTTCATATTCTAACGACAAATGTTCTGAAGTGAAATCGAACGAGCAAGACAAACTGTTGCCACATTATGTTGAAGACTGGCAAGTGCTTGGAAATGCTGATATGGAACAAGCTGGATTAGACAATGTTGAAGAAGACACAAAGGGAAGTAAAAGTAGCTCTAAATTGTCCTCTCAGCCACTGGACAGAAACCGCGCGGAACAAAGCACCCAATCACTTAGTAAGCGAATAGATTTCCCGCCAAGACACTTGTCTTGCCCAGAACATAATGAAAAAATTAGCGATGGATCACATGCCATGGTGGTATCTATGTCTCCATCTTACACTTGTACGAAGGATATCACACCAAGTTCACCTTTAAGTCCAAAGTTGGTGTCTGACTCAGTGATGGTGTCTATACCTTTCCAAGTCCACGGTCAGCAGCCGTCCTCCAGACCAGAGCAGCAGTCAAATGCTTGGTCATCTTCTGTTTCCATATGTGTGCCATTTCAAGTGGATGAAAACGGTGCTGGTGTGTCTGTGTTATCCTCTTTTGACAACCAGCTACTGCCGACATCTTTACTCGACAAGCAAACCACAGGAGTGCTTGTACACGCAGGTTCAGTTCCCCTCCTTCAAGAAACGCCCAAATTACAGAGCTCGAATTCCGTGAGCGTATCTGAATCACTCACGATGGAGAGGAAAACGGAAAAGACTTCTTCTTCCGCTATGAATGAAATAATATCTTCGGAGCCGTCAATTCCAGTGGAAAGTTCTTCATTCGTCTGTCCGGATGGTGACAAGGGTGTCTCTCAAGATATGACCGATGGAAGAGCAGCTACAGCTACCAAGCCTCGTGTACATCCCTCTCCTACACCGGACAAGCGAAAGCTATTTAAAGGTGGGTAATTAATGCATATTTTGCCATCAAGTATATAGGAAAGGGATTAAACTGTTACAATTAGTAAGAGCCATTCGAAATGGAGGAAAAGTTTGTTTCACATCCATTTGTAGAGGGTATGTGAAGAACTTCTTCAGCGTAGTTTCCTGTCTTCTTGCTGGTGGTCTATGTTTTTATGATATGAATTTGTGAGGAAATTAAAACTGGTTCTAAATGTGTAGTGTGCGAACTAAATAAGGCACGCACTGGACTTAAATTTGACCCGATTGTTCAAAACCCGATTAAGCTAACCCAGGATTCACGAGAATTTTGATTTCAGTTTTTTATATTTGCGGTGAGGTTTTCTGTTTACATTGTTTATCCCTGAGTTTTGAGTTTGAATAATCACAAACTGTACAAAACTTAAGGAGTGAAAAACATTTTCATGCAAGAAAAATTGTTCCTTCGGGTAACTTTTAATCCTGCGTTAGCGTTAAGTCGAACAACCCAGTGCTGTGTATTCGCCCCTGATTGGTTGAGAGCCGAAACATTATCTTGGCAAGGCGTTTATTTCCCTTTGGTTCACATTGTCGCCAGTTGACAAGGCCAAGAAGTTTTCCTTGTGTTATAATGTATTCAAATATATGTAAAGGGATCGACCAACCAGTCACACTATCCTGACTGATGTTTTTTTTATGAATGCCAAAATTTTACAAAGGGGTTTTATAACACGAGTGATTAGCGCGATCTTTTGGTTTATTTTGACATGGTATGAATTTTCGCTCCGTCCGAGTTTAAATGACATGTAAGAAATTGGATTGTGAGCTCGAGATTTCTATTGCGTGATACGGTCGAGTCAACTATCCCGCAAAGAAATCGAGAGCGAATAATCTAATTGTTTTAGTATAAATCTACTAGTCGTTCAAACTTTATCTAAATCCTCCTCACTAACACTTCCAAATTGCAAAGAAGTGGCCGCCAGTTTGTTAGCAAGCGGACACTGTTACGCTACTCACTATCTATAACAGAATAGATAGTGAATAGTGTAGCTAATCAGAGAGCGGCATTCTTGATAGATCGCAAGTAGATTTATACTAAACTAATTTATTCATGATATGCGCTTGTTGAAGAATTTTTCAGATAAATGCGTGTTTAAAATATCCTAATGGAATGACTTCAAAATCAGTCGACCGCAGTGAGCCAAAAAATTATATTTAAATAACGATTAGCTTTGATAATGCTGTTGAGCGTCTATGAGGTGTCGTGAATTATAGAAAGAATTGACGATTGTTTTCAAGTGTTGAACAGAAATAAGAAGGAAATGATTAGAGACTTAGGACTCACTACGCCGGGAAATAGCAATATCGCGTGACAGGGCAGACCGGCGCATTTTAGAAATGCCAAAGGGGAATATGTTCATCGATAAACATACACACAAGAATCTGTTGTGATCTACCGTACTCGATACAGCAGAAATTGCTTTCTAAGACTCTGTGTCACTGACTAATGGATCTATAACCTGTCTGTACGATTGAACTTTCGCTCTACAGAAAACCATAGCAGGGAGAAGGTTCAAGCTTCAGGAGTTTCAAAGGAACAGCGGTCAAAAACCATGGGCAAAGAAGCTAGTAAACATAAAGCCATGGATAAACCAGTGAATTCGACTGCATTGAAAGGCCCAACAGCAGGTAAAGTTTTAAGTTAACTGAACGCTAAGAGGCTAACGTGTTTACAGATTTCACGGAACAACCCCGTGTAGTAGGCACGGTTTCGTGTCGATGATATTTTACTGTTTTGGCAACCACGTATTAATGAATACAAATGAACGAAATGAAAAAAGTTCAGTTTTACGTAAAGAATTATAAAAACATGACCGATTAGGGTGCTTTCAGTGCTGAAAGAATTCCTACGCAATCGGCACAACCACTTGTTGTTAAACCCAGCAAGGAAATTTTATTGGTAACATGACGTCGTGAGAAAGGAAAAAGACGTCAAGCGGACGACTGCAGCGATGTGTTTATAGTAGCGTCAGACGATTGATCTCCTGTCGGTTGTTTGCTTTATAATTTTTCACATTTCTTTGGCTATCAGTTACAGCGGACAACATTTGCGTCTTGAAAAACAAAGCTCACCTCATCAAATTCTTTTCATGCTTTTCATTCTTATGTCAATAGTGTGTTGATTCAAGCCAAAGTAATGTTATTCTTTGGTCATCTGTAGCTCGATAAGCTCTTCAAACAGTTCTCTTGCCACAGTTTTGTTTCGTGAAAACGGCAGTCTCTACCGCTTGTTAATTTGTTCTCCATTTACAACTGAGTAACAAGAGACTGAACACATCGCACGGAGTCATTCGTCTGTGTGGCGACCAATATCGGACCACTGTATGTGTCATAGGTATGGCATCCTTGTCTGTTTTATTTTCTGGAACCGTGTTTGTGCATTACATCAATGCGCATTTTTAAATAATACGAAATGTCAAGTTCAATCAGTGAACTTTATCGCTTACTCGTCGAAGTTAGGCTGTGCTAGGAACAAAGCCGGTGATGAAACAAATGTGCGTGATCACGAGGAGGAAGTGATTTAATTCTTTCGATTTCCGTGACACGTCAGATCAAGGCTATCTCGCTGTTTATCTGAATGTACGATAAAGAACATGTGAAAGCCGATGAACATTTGCTATTTCCTGCGTGTGCATATCAGTGTAGGTGTTCAGTTCCTTTCCAATTCCCTGTAATCTGTCGGAATCACCCACTGAAATAGGCAAGCCTTTAGCAAGGTTGTTGCGCATAAACAATGAACAGTATACGGAACGCGGTCTATCGAAAATACCATCGTTCAGCTTATATTAACCCTTCGAGTGAACGATGACTTTACATATACTTGCTGTGATGCTTATTTCGTGACAATAAAATTTTCAAGTTAGAATAACTGCTCTTCGAAATTTCAAAACAGCAACAATCAATTTGATAGTGAATGTTGATGTAACCTGCTAAAAAAAGTTGTTGGTAACTAGACAGGTAAAAAAAACATAAAATCAAAAATTTATGAATATTAAGAACTGCAATGTTTTGAACAATTTTAGCAAAGTTACGTTTTCCCTGGAATTGGGTAAATATTTATGCAGACATTTTTTTTGATTGCTTTATTGATTTGATCTATTGAGTTTTTGTTCCATCCGATGCTTCTATTGGAATATTAAGGGTGTGATCGATTGACCTTATTCCGGAATGATAAGATAGCACAATATACAGTGTTCCGGATTATTCCAGAAATGCCGCCCTGACCATTATTTTGCTTCTGAAATTTCGTTCTTTACTTTGTGTAACTTCTCAGATTCTTGGAAAGCCTTGCCTAGGTTAACATTGGCTCTCCCTTCTTAACAGCATGCGGGGGGCGGGAGGGGGAGGGGCGGCGGGGTGTACACTCGCAGGCTACGCTCGTTTACCACACTTAACACTCTGTAAGATCGATCACGTTTAATTGAGAAGTAAATAACATTTTTCGTAGCTCCATCGAGTCATAGAAATACACTGAAGTTTAATAGAATGAGAAAATCTGTGGGAATGCAAGCGAGTCTCTCCACAGCTTTTTCGTGTTTTCACGAACGTTTATGAGTAATTCGATAGAAACACCAAGAAAATGTATTTTATTTCTCTCAAAGAAATAAAATGAAATAAAATTCACTCTTTTAATTCGATGATCAAAATTATATCAATATTTTTCACTGCCAGCATCAGCGTCCGTCATTTCTTTATATTGTTATAGACCTTGACGCGAAAATATGTGACATCATTATTCCGAACTATTTCCCAAGATTCTGGTCCTTGAGCAGAGTGCTTGGGATATCTTTCGTCTATGCTAGAATCGGAGAAACGACTGAATTGAACGGAAATTTATTCTCATTCAGAAATATGGTCAATGAAACCCACCTTAAATGCATTTACATGCTTCTATTATATTTTTAGCGGAGCTCCTGCGCGCCGTAAGCGCGCGAGCGGAGGCTCATACCTTTGAAAATTTGGTAATCGATCTAAAAATTTTGGTTGTCCGGACGTCCCTATGCCACTTGCACTGTGCGTGTGCGAGCTGAGCTCGATACCCTGAAAAATGAGAGAGTAGCACCATTACCATAGGTACATCTTTGATATTGGACATCCATGTTATCTTCAATTGACAGCTGTCAAATAAAGGTATATGCTGACCAGTAACACGTGATCATATCGCGGGATCAGATTGAGAGCTGTTTTTTTTCGAACCTTTGCCCAGATACTGGTTTTCGATGGAATCGATGACTCAAGCCAGGTTACTGCTCTGAGGGAGAAAGGGGGCCAGGGGGGGGGGAGGGGCCTGCGTACAAAGGCAAAATTTCCGCGTGAATTAGGCCCTGGCGCGTTGTTGACTTTTTTCCCCGAGATATTCCTTGTGCATACGCTGAACAATTAACTGCGAAGAATTTATCATTATTTGAGTTTCTGATCCAAAAAAAAGCACATTCCTTTTTTTTCCCTTTATGGTTAACTTATTGCAATCAGGAGCGCCGCTTTTAGGTTTGGCTAAACCTATATATTACAACTCTTTAGGCAAGGCAAGAGCGAAGTCCTTCACAGCAGGGGATAAAACTAAATTGACTCCAGGTCCCTCCAATACTCCGCCGAGTCCTGCCGGAACACCAAAATCAAGAAGTCCTGCAACTTCTCCGAAACTCATGAGACGAAATGCGACTCCTAAAGATGTGAGCAAGGGTCTTAATGGAACTCGAAAGACAGCTGAGCCGAAAAACAAAGAAAGTCACAACAGACCTCATTCAGACCCACTTATCGCTGAAAAGTAAGTCGGCTATGATGGTGTTTAAGATGTTATGTGTTTTTCATTTGGCCTCCCGTCTCGCAATTTTCGAGGACTTGCAAATAAACGACCGCTGGTTAAATGAATGCCTGTATATGCATGGATGTGTATATGCGGGCGTATAGAAAGTAAATAAGAGTCTTCATTATGTTTCTCAGTTACTACGTGCGCTGTGATTGGTCAATTTAGCGGGCCGTATTCTCCTGTACGGCCCGCTGAAATTTAATTCTGTTTTTGTTGCCAAAATATTTCGTGATTTATCGCCGAGTGTTCTTAACTCTTAGAGCAACTTAAACTCATCACAAATAGATGAGCTTTGGAACTGGTGCCTAAAAGGTTAGCGGGGAGCAGAAGCCGTAAGCGGAAGGGGAGGTATCCATGGCAACCCTGGAAGTGGGAACCACCCCCAAAAGCAGCCGCTAACTGGCACCGTCACACTGAATGAATCAGTGGAAACAACTTACCTGACCCACACTTACCTAGAGACCAGCAACCAAGAGGGAGGGACGGGAAGGGGCGAGAATCCGCAAAGATTCGCCAAAGTACAAAGCAAACGATCCGTAACGATCAGCTGGCAGTACAGTACGTGCAATGCAATGTGACACAACAGCCCTGCAAATCTCCAAAGGGCCGTCCCGCAAGTCACGTACTGTAAAACGGGAAACCGCTGACTGCATTGGTTTGAGTCTAACTTTGCCTAAATCATATTTAGCCACATTAAAAGTTTAAAACATTTCGTCACTTTAAATTGTGTATTAAACGTGTTAACGACTTAACAACGATTTCAAATTGACTCGTTTTGCTTTCGACGTGCGTCAGAAATTTGAAGCCGTTCCGCATGAATAGACTGTTGTTGAACCCGTCAGACACAGAGTAGAGATATAATAAATATCTAACTAGCCTCGTCTTCTCGGTCCGTACTGTATGCTACGGATCCTCGTTTTTACCCCCTTCGATTTATGTATGGCCCGCGCGCTTCGCGATTCGGCCATAATTCGAAAGGAGAAAAAACTCGGTCCATAACTTACAGTACGGACCTCGAACTCGATTAGTCAGAGGTATATAAATTTAGTTTTAGTCATTAATTTAAACTTTGCTTTGGGTTTTGTAGGATTCATGGAAAGAAGAAACCTTCAGTGGTTGCCGCAAATGATACAAAAGGTAACGTATGCATGACTAAATGAAAAACTAACCAACTTACAACAAAAAATAATTCCAAATTCAAAGCCTATTATTTTTTAAAAATAAAAACAGATGATTTCTGTGGGCCGTTCTTTTCCATTTCCAAGCACGCCATCATCATTTGCATATATTTTCTCTCTTTCAAGAGAAAGTAGCTTCGAGTGCGTGACGAGCCAAAAAGATGTCTGCCTTTGAGGCTAAAGAGAAATAAGACATTGGTCAAATTTACGACGCGATCATGCTGTCATTACCAAGAGCTAACCGTAAACAGGCTAACCCGAGCATTTTTCGGGGTAATCAGAGTGCTATTTAGGATTAAATGCAGTCTGCAGTCTGCAAATGTCATAAATAGGCTTCTAATGGTATTATGTCATCTGTTGACAGCGAAATCAAAGCCTGACCACGAGTCAGTGAAAAATAAAGTTAAAGAGCTCGAGGCTGAAAAGCTTGAACTGATGGAGAAAATACAAGGAATGGAACACCGCCTTGACGTTGTACCACTATTAGAAAAGGAAAAACTTCATCTACAAAAGCAATTCAACGAAGTCGTCCAGGAAAACGCGATAAAGTCAAGTGAACTGCAGTCTTTAAATCTGAATTTGGAGAAACAAAGAGAAGAAAAAAATGAACTCCAGGTGAGACACGATAAATTGGTGATAGCACTGGAAAACAGCCAACAAGAGCTCGAAGAGCTTAAAAAACAAAACCATTCGCTTGAGGAATCGAAATCTACTCTGGTGCGAGAAAATGAAGAAAAGATACAAACGATTACAAAGTGCCACGAGGACATTGAAAAATTGACAATTTCGAACGCAGCCTTGGTATCGAAAGAGAGTCAATCAAGGAGTACGATTTCAACACTGATACAAGGCTTGCAATCTTTAAAAGATTCTGTTATACTGCTGAAAGACGAAAACAAATGCTTACAAATGCAAATCATTGAGAGCGGAAGTGAACTTGTTGAAAGAATGAGAAACTGTGTTGGTGGTTTGGAAAAGGTTATCGATGGTTTGGAAATACACAAGACTGAAAAAGTTGAGAAAGAAACGCAAGTGTCCTGCAATGTCGGGACGCTTGATAAAGATACACAATGTGACGAGTTAATGTCGGTACAATTGATTCTAAATGAGGCTGAAGAAAGCAAGCTGACAGTTGAACCCAGTATAGAAGAAAATAAAAAGCCAGGTGAAACAAGTGAATTGCCTTCAACGCCAAACACAGCGAATGAGCAAAACAAGCCTGCTGTATGTTTGAGATGTATCAGCCTTGAAGAACAACGAGTATGTCTAAAATCCAATTTGGACGCGCTTAAGGCTTCTTTGCAGAAAACAGAAAGTGATCGAGATGACGCTGTAGAGGAAAGAAACGAGTTGAGACGCGAAGCTAAGTATCTTAAGTACGTCCTTTCTTACAGAGAAGACGTACAGAGTTTACAAATGTCAAAAGAACAGAACAAGGAACTGGTGAAAATGGAGTCCAACCTTGTAGAAGCAGAGAAAAAAGTAATCGATTTGGAAGATGAAGTTGGAAGACTTCAGGAAGAAAAGCAGACTCTGTTGTTGAGTATTTTGAACCTTCATTCTGGTCACGAAGTGGACGTTGTCAAAGAGGAAGACGAGGAGGAAGAAGAAAACATGTCTAGCGAAGAGTCTGAAAATAACCGTGACGATGAAAATCAAGAGAAAGGAAACATGAGTGAAGATTCTCGCACTCCCGATTCCATTTCTCGCAGAGAACAACTGAAGTTTCGATTTCAATTATCTTTGTCCGAGTCGGAATATAGTTATAGTTCCGAACGAACGGAGGGCGAAGAAGAAAGCGAGAGTGAACAAGAAGATACGGACATGGAGATCTCGTCCCAATCTGGATTGCATATAAAGAAAATTAAAACTGAGCACAAACAGTTCAAAACACTTTTAAGTGAAGCCAATGAGGAGAAAGAAGAGTTGCTATCAAGTCTTGATAAGTTATGCGAAGAGTTTGATTCCCTCAAGGCAAACTTTGATAAACTCGAGGAAGATTACTCCGCTTTGTCAAAGAGATCGAAGCAAGATAAAGAAACCTTGCAAGCCCGGCTTCAGGAGGTTGAAATCGATAGAGAAAATATGAGGGAATCCCTTAGGCAAGTTCAAGACGAGAAGCTAGCGCTTTTGCAGTGCCTTGAAATGAGGAACCCTGAGCCAATACCACCCGTGTCTCCATTGCCACAACTAGATCTGGACCAAATTATTGCGCGTGCACAGTCGTTCACTCAAGCAGAAGACAAAGCTAGTGAAGCAACATCGAACGAGGAAGATTCTGACGCTTCGTTGTCATCAGACGGTGAAGATGAAAACAGGAGTAAACCCCAACTTAATGATAAAGCCGTGATACACCCAACTCCAGATAATCAGTTCGGACAAAAGGGACAACCGGAAGAGACGCAATCACCTGCTAACGATAGAGATCTGCAGCTGGCAAACTTAGTGGCATCTATCGAAAATGACCTTGGAAAACTCAAGGAGCGCCTGAATAACAGAGGCAGTGATACGTCTGGTAAGATATACAACACAAGAACTTTTAGTCTGTGAACAGTCACCTTCTAGTAATGTTTGTCTGATCGGTGGGAACTAAACTTACCTTGCTCTTACAGGGATTTTCACTGCCAATTGTGAAATATTTTTTTCGTAATGAGTTATGAAAGGGAGAAAGTCTGATCAAACTCACCGAGTTTTAACAAAACGAGGAAGTTTGTGTTTGTGAACATGGATGACTTTGGTGAGACTTTTTCACGTGGTACTATATAAACAACAGTTTGCCGGTTTCTGTTGAGGATCAATAGACTGATAGTTGCCCGCGGAAATTCTTTGTTCTAAAAAACAAATATTTGCCCGAAATCGAAGTTCGAGGGCTTTTATGAAGTTTATTTGAACAAAAATTTCCTTTTCGGAGGGCTTATATGAAGTTAATTAGAACAAAAAACTTCCAGAGGTAACCATTAGACAAACACTCTATTGTCTTCATCTTTACAATTTTTCATTTAGTCCAGTTCTGGCCCTCTCTTTGTCACGCGACTCTGCGTCAAAACGCGACAAACAGAGAACCAGAAATGGAGGACTTTTCATGCAATTGGAAAATTGCACGACTGAAAAATGCCCTGGTCTGCTCAGTGAAAAAGCACCTTAAAACTGACGCGGAACCTTTACACAGTCCCCATTCTAACATAGCCTGCGAACATAGACGAATTTCGCGTGTTGTTTCGGTGTTCGTTAGTAATTCGTCAGCTTTCGTAGGCTTATTGTTACCGCTCATCGAGGTAGTTTTAATTGTAGGTGATGTGCAAGATAAGAACATTGGCAATGGCGTTGAATCAAGGCTCCGAAAACCTCCCCCTGGCGAGCGTCTTCTCAAGCGACAAGCGTCAACTGTTAAGTCAAATCTCGATCGAGTATGCCGAGAGAAACAACATCTACAAGCTGAGGTGGAGTCGTTACGCCGTTACCTGCTGAAAAGGAGAGACTCTGCAATGGAAATCAGGACGAAACCGTCCCATGGAAGTCTTAAAAGGGCGGCTGCGGAAGTGGAAAATCATTTGGAAGGAATAAAGACCTTACAAACCTTGCTCGCAAAATCCGACGAACAACTCCGACAGTCGAATGATATAATTTCTCGACTTGAAGCGGTTAACGACGAAACTGAAGAAAAACTTCGAGACGCCGAAGTCCTTCAAGATGATATGCGCTGTGCTGTTCAGATAGCTAACACTTTTGCCATGGAAGAGCAAGAACGTGCAGACAAGTTAATGTTACAGAATCAAGAGTTGCTGAAAACTATTGAAATGCTCAAAAGTGCGCGTCCCTCAGCCGATGGTGAGGACGAGATTGAGGATGAAAATTCAAAAGAGAAACCAACAGCAAAAGGGAAACCTAAATTTCAGATGAAAGGAGCCAAAAGCTTCAATCGCAGTGTAAGCGAAGACGACGGGCTATACGCAGATGACGAGAGCAATTTTACAACAGAAGGTGAATCAGATTTCTTTTCTTCCCGCCACTCGAGTATCGCAAGTGAATCTGATTTGGCGACAAGCCCCACACCATATGAAGACAATCTCGATGGCGTAGACTCTAATGTCCCTGCAGAATGTGCAACTAAGAATACAGATGTCGAAACTGAAGGTACAAGTCAACACAGCTCTACAGCAGACACTTCAGATTTGACTGACGATGAAACGGAGTGAATGCCAATTATTTGTAACTATTTACGAACTGAAAACGTTTCATATGTACAGTAGTTGATTAGTTCAAGTATGTCTCACAGTAGGACCTCACCGGTTCGATAGTGTTTGACACTTTGGAAACTCTTTTTGATAATAAATTTGAAGCCCCATACTGCAGAAGTTGGTTGCCGTGTTTTTTTTGTTTTTGTTTTTGCAAAGAATTAGAAGTAAACGTCTTTCATTATCTCAAGTTCAAACATGAAATCATTGCTAAAACTGGATGCGTTGTTGGTTATTTTATCGCCCTCTATCTCAGCCTACGCTGAATGTTTGATAATTAATCGGAATTTGTGAGCCTATATGAGAAAAGCTTGAAATCCATTACACCAAAGTTGAGTATTGTTGGAGTTGTCGTACATTACTGACCAACTGCTTCGAGAACAACTGGAAGCAGTTATCTATTATTGGTGGGGGTTTATTCTTCCACTATGGCCATGTACATAAGGCTGAGATGGGAGATAGCTTATCACCTTCATGTAAGTAACTGGGGTTAAGTGTTGTACCTTGAACTCTGCACTATTTTCGACTGTCTCGCTAGTTCTGCATTAGACGTCAAAGCGCGTGATATGAAGCCAACGTAGCCACATTTCCACCTCTTTTGTAACGTGCTTCCTAGAGGCCACGATACGTTTCTATCAGCATCTTTAGAAACCGTTATCGAACATGGAAGAAAACGCCCATTCAAACTGGAGCCAGTATTTCCTGGAGTGATTTTCCTGGAGCGTTGGGCGTGCTGTCAGAGCTGACAGAAGCGCGCGCTCTGCGGTCTAGATTGGCATGGATCAAAAGGCTCTGGGCTCAAGTATGACTTTTCAGGTTGCCTCGCTACCTACGTTGTTGCCAGTTCCTGCACCGGTTTCTCCCAGGCCTTCACGGTCAACTGATATAGGTGACGTATCCGAAACGAACGTAGCGTTTCCCTTAGACCGCGACCACACTAATGCGTTTTTTAAAAGTATCCGTATTTGTCTCAACGAAAACGAAGAAAGATATTTTTGTCCACATAAGCGATTTCGGTTTGTTTTCACCTGTCCAAACTAAGTCGTTTTCGCATGAAAATGCAGACTTGGATACGTTTTCGCCCACCGTCCGCACTAAAATGCCCGAAAACGCTGATAGAAAGGACGCTTTTTTCTGCACCGTTTTCAAAAGCCGTTTTGACCTGTCCACACTAGGAACGAAGCGTTTTCAAAATGATGCGTTCCCAAAAGGCCCGTCTTTTGAAACCGTCTTCGAAAACCTCCGTTTTCATCAGCGTTTTTGGTCGCTTTAGTGCGGACTATAGGCGAAAAAGCATCAAAAAGTATGCGTTCTCATACGAAAACGCATTAGTGTGGTCGGGGCCTTAGTCTTGTGATCTTCTGCAGCAAAGGGCGAAAGGCTTTCAGTGGCGGATCCAGACCTTGAGCTAAGGGGGCGCGCTTTTTTTTTTTGCTTATCCTGCCGGCTTTTCTTCCACCTGCGATTTGTTTTACCCACAATAAGGGGTGGGGAAGCGGGCCCCTCCCCTAGATCCGCCACTGGCTTTGGAAAGGGTTAAATCTATCCGAGGAAATAGTGCCACAATATTTACCCGTGGGATCATTTGGGTGGGGTTCAACTTGAAATCATTAACTGTTCATTTCTTTTTTATTTGTGAATGTCAAAGGAATTAGTATTGTAAATAAGTCAAATTCACTCTTTTCCCTGTAACATATTTGAAACCTTTACAGTGAAGGACCCTCTGACCATGAACACTTTCATTTCTTTGTTCATTTTTTAATTATCCAATATTCCTCACACGAAAGGATCAGTGTTTTTTTAGAGCCCACATTGGATATAATCATAAAAAATGCACACGGAATGTCAATGCTCATGGTTAGAGTGCCCTGATCGTTAATGGCAACGTTTTTCCCGGTTAGGAGCAATTGTAACGGTATAAATACCATATTGAGTGGATTCCAATGAGGTCTGTAATCAGAAATGTTTATAACAAAATCGGACGAACGCAAAGTGTGATTACAGACTGAATTGGACGACGCAAAGTCCTATTATCAATTAATTAATGTTAACTATAACAAAATTTGAGAGAAGTCAAGAGGTTTACTTTTTTGCCAAGTAAAAGTAATGGCCCATTGCCTCTATGAGATGCACTTGCAGGATTCATGGTAGTTGTATTCATCAGCTTGTACTGGATATTTGTTTTGATGAATACAACTACCATGATTCCCTGCAGGTGAGTCTCATAGAGGGAATTGGCCATTGAAACAACTTCCAAAATTTCTAAGAGGGAACCCATTCAGGTGTAACTGTTTTACAACTGCGCGTGCAAATGACACGTGTCTAATAACACCAGGCATGACACGTACACTGTCCTATAAATGCTACAATACAGCTTGCCATTTACCAATCAGTTTCGAGAACTTTGTAATAGTTATGATTATGGCGAGTTATTAGTGGACAAACTAAATAGCGATCACCCAGTTGCTGATATCATTTCTAATAATATATGTGAAAAAATTACTCGATTCTGATTGGCAAAGGGCAGTGTAGTTGAAGTGTAACACCAGTGCAAAAAGTGTGACACCGGTGCAAAAAGTGTAACACCAGTGCAAATTACACATCGTAATTCCGGATTCTGATTGCCTAAAAGACAATAGGAAATTTTCGAAGCCAATGACATTATGCAAAATGATGACGGAAATTTTGGGCAGAAACTTTGAAAAAAGTTTTCTTGAATGAGAAAAAATGGCTTCAAGAAAGGTCTTCCGGCACTTCCCCAACGCAAATTTTTTCGTGTTTATATTTAATGATCCTCTTTTGAGGCCTGGTCTGAGCTGCCACTAATGATACTACATTTAGGAGATAACACACTGGCTGTGGGTAAAATGTCGGTGGCAGGGAAGGACGACTGGGAAGTAGGGGCCCAGGAAGGGGCCCTCCTGGGGGAGTGCAGATCAGGTGGTACCAGGGGTAGCCACCCTGGAATAAAAGATCCAGACCTGCCTCCAGGGGTGAGGCCCATATCCCACAGTCCCGGGGGACTGAGGGAACCAGGAGG